GAGACTGGGGTGGGCCAGAGGGCGGGACTTAGCGCGTGGGGGCGGGGCTGAGGCGCCTTGAGGACAGGCCTGAGACAAGGGCGGACCAGAGGGCGGGACTTAGCGCGTGGGGGCGGGGCTGAGGCGCCTTGAGGACAGGCCTGAGACAAGGGCGGACCAGAGGGCGGGACTTAGCGCGTGGGGGCGGAGACTGGGGTGGGCCAGAGGGCGGGACTTAGCGCGTGGGGGCGGGGCTGAGGCGCCTTGAGGACAGGCCTGAGAACCCGGCGGACCCTCTAGAGGGCAGCATTTAGAGCTCTAGCCCTTTCAGAAGTAGGCTCCTCAGTGTTATACTGGCCTCTGCCCTTTGGCCCTTGCACCCTAGTAGAAATCTGTAAGGGCCTCGCTTCTTGTGCCCCTTGGCTCTTCTGGGTCCCTCCTAGCAACCACACACACCTGCTGCTCTTCAATGCTGGTCCTCTTTCCTAAACATCCCCCATGGGTCGATCCTGGAGGCCTCCAGACTGTTGCCACTTGTCCCTTCATATCACTTTAGATATGAACACAACTCTTTCCACACAGAATTGTAACTAACCGAAATGCAAGAGTGAGTGCAGTATGTTGGTAAACAGTGCAAACAGGGAAGCCTCCCCACCCCATGCAATACCCTCCCGTTGTCTGAACCCTCCCCCCTCCCCATCCCAATCAGTGCTCCTGCTGTCTTAGCCCTGAGGACACCTTGACCAACACAAAGTCTCTGGAACTTGAGATCCTATGGAAGAGGCACTTTTTTTTTTCTAGTTTGCTCAGGCCCGCTGAGGCTCCTGCCTCAGAGTCTTTGCGTGGGTTGTTTCCTGTCCCCAGCCCTGTGTACTACCCCTAGCTCTTTGTTGTGACAGCATCTTTTGAGAGTGCTCTTGAGGCTCTTCATGGAACATTGCAGCTCTGTCTGTCTTCATCCCTGTCTCCCATGTCATTACTTATTCCTGCTGCTTGTCACTGTGGTTTTAGGATTCTCTAGGACAGACCTAATGTCTGCTTGCATTTCCATCCTCAAATGACCCCTCCCAGAAGCTGCACCTAAAGTCTTGCTTCTAGCCACTGGAATATGGCAAAAGGGATGGCTGTCACTTCTCCCTCCCTATTGTATTGCTCACCACAACACAAGGCAGCTTGGGACGCCTTTGACTAGCGAAAGTATGAGGCCTGCCAGTGCTAGCAAGGGAGCTAGAAAGCAGAGCCCACATAGAGCTCTGTCCAGACCATGGGCCTGGGAGACAGCACACTACCTCCTTTTCCACTAGAGGGCCTGTACTAGACCTTACAGACCTAGAGATAACACAGCTTTATTGTCCTAAGCTGCTAAATTCTGCAGTCTCCTATGAAGCTGCTGGGATTTTTGTTGTTATGGTTGTGGGTTTTTTGTTTGTGTTTTGGTTTTTTTACCAATTTTGTGTCTTCAGTGCTTTGGCATTGAACTAGGCACAGCAGTGCACAGCGGTGGCCCTGACCACTCTGGGCATGGAGGCAGGGTCATTGCTTGAACCAAAGAATGTCTTCTTTACTGTTTAAATCATGTGCATATGTGTGTGACTTTGTACATGTGAGTGCAGGTTCTCATAGAATCCACAAGAGAGTGTCAGATTCCCTGAAGCTGGAATTACAGATAGTTGTGAGTTACCATGTAGGTTTTGGGAATTGAACCCTGGTCCTTTGGAAGAGCAGCAACTACTCATAATTATTGAGCTATCTCTCTAGCCCATTGAACCAAGGAATTTGAGACCAGCTTGAGCAGCATATCAAGACCCAGCTTGTCAAAACCACTCTAGATAAGGTGGGACCCATTGGGGTCCAGGAATTTTGAGCATTAAGGGCAATATTTGACATAGCTTATAGTACTGCTATACGTAATTTGACATACTTTGTTTCTGTTGGAGAACTGGCTGAGGGCTGTCCCTTGTGGGCCATACTAGGGTGGTGCAGTATATAACAAGCAGACTAACTGCTGACAACAGGGAATGAAGTGTGCTTCGGACTTCAAGGAACCAGGGCTTCTAACCCCAAAAGGAAGAGTATGGTGTCCTTGAAGCTTCACAGGGCATCCTGCCTTTCCCCACTCTAGACCTTTTTGGGAGTTCATGGAGGTGAAGCTGAATGGGTTTCAGGAGAATCTGCCTTATCTCTGTTGCTACATGGCCTATGACACCTTCTGTGAGAGGCTGAATGACAACCGATAGAACATTAATCAGTAAACAACTCTAGGGTTGGGTTTGGTGGGCTGGCTGCACCTTGCCCAAGCCTTGCACTGTGGGCACGTGGAATTAGATGGGAGCAGGGCTTCTAGCTTGGTAGGTGCCTCCCCACTGTCCAGACCCCAAGCCTTCATATTAGTGACAGGGCTCACCAGTGGCCAAGACCGGAGACCAGAAGGTACTGGGTCATTAAAGGGGTGGGCTGACCACTGGAAAACACATACGAAGGAGTGTGTGTGTGTGTGTGTGGGTGTGTGTGTGTGTGTGTGTTTGTGTGTGTGTGTGTGTGTGTGTGTGTGTGTGTGTGTGTGTGTGTGTGTGCTTCTTTTCTCTGTGACCTCTCAATCCAGTCAGCCCAGATCAATAAAAATAGTCTGGAAAGTCAGGAATTTTTTTGACTGAAAAACTGCAAACCAGGGGCTGGAGAGATGGCTCAGCGGTTAAGAGCACTGACTGTTCTTTCAGGGGTCCTGAGTTCAATTCCTGGCAACCACATGGTGGCTCACAACCACCTTGAATGAGATCTGGTGCCCTCTGCTGGCATGCAGGCAGAAGACTATAAGTAATAAATAAAATCTAAAAACAACAACAAAAAACTGCAAACCAACTAAAAAGCAGAAAAATAGCCTAATGATCCCCAGGTGGGAGAATTATCAACATTTTGACAAATTTACAATCAGTATTTTTTTGTTTAGGTTTTTCAAGACAGGGTTTCTCTGTGTAGCTTTGGAGGCTGTCCTGGAACTAGCTCTTGTAGACCAGGCTGGTCTCGAACTCACAGAGATCCACCTAATCCCAGCACTCAGGAGGCAGAGGCAGGTGGGATTTAATACCGAGTGCTGGGATTAAAGGCGTGCGCCGCCACCGCAAGGCTACAATCAGTATTTTTTAAGTTTTATTTTATTAAAATTTGTAGAACATTTACATTACAGACAGCATTGAACTTTACCCTCAAAAATTTCAGGACAATTTTGTCTTTTCAAAACAATGATGCTGCAGGGCACAGTGGAGCACACGTGTAAACCCAGATAGAAAGGCAGAAGCCAGAGGACCTCAGGGGTCTGGTCATTTGGGATAGACAACAGGGCCCTAGCACACACCCGAAAGATGATATAAATAAGACTGCATTGTCCTGTGTAAACACAGCAGTAGTGCTCTTACCTTTTTGTGTGGGTTCTACATATTCAAGTGTACACATGTATGTGTAAGCATGTAAGTACACATACATGTGTACACATGCAAGCAGAGACCAGAAGTCAATATTAGGTGGCTTCCTCAATCATTGTCCTTATTATTATTATTTTACACTTTTATTTGTTTTATTTTGTGTGGGTATATGTGGGCCAGGGTGCAAATGTGGAGGTCAGAGGGTAACTTGTAGAAGGTGGTTTTCCTCTTCCATCCTTGGGTCCCGGGAATCAAACTCAGGTCATAAGACTTAGCAGCAAGTACCTTTACCTACTGAGAAACCTCAACAGCCTTGTATTTTGAGATTCTTGAAGGCTGAATCTGTCCACAGTAGCTCCCAGGGCCCAGGGCACACATGGAGCAGGCTGGGGTATGACTTGCCCATGTAATTGAAGTTCCAGGCCAGGAGCTTCTAGGCTGCTAAGCCAGCAGTACTATACTCTTAAGTTGGGTGCTGGGGACTACAGGATCCAAGAAGGGCCCTCAGGCACAATTGGGTCTTCCTCCTGCAGAGCCAAGGTCCTGCCCTTTCCCAGCACCCAGGATGCATAACTGCTCCCCAATCCTGCAGGTACTGTCCCTAAGGGACCCAGTTCATGTAGTTGGGAGCCTTAGACAAGTCCTTGTCACCCAACACCCACTCTCTGGCTTTCTCAATGAAACACTGCTTCTGTCAGCTTGGGGAGCTGTAGGGAGAAACCAGGAACTCTTCGTGGGAAGACCTAGCAGATAGGCAGCATGACCCCAACTGACCTCCAGGGTGTCTGGGTCCATACTGCAAAACAAGGAGCAGGTGTAGCCAGTCCCCAAGCACTACTAAAAGTAGGGGTGAGGGTGTAGTGGGCTAGGGAAGCTGCTTGAAGCTATGGTGACCAGGCCTCCCTGCCTTCTCCACACCACCCCCAATGAAGTTCTAGGTTGGGGTGGGGTGGGACTTTGGGAGGGATCTCCGAGGGCACTCACCTATGCCAGAGCACCAACACACTGGTCTGCTGAGAAAGCAGGTCTCATGCACACCTTTGCCTTTTCCCTTAGTCCTCCACCTCAGCTAACGATAGTCTCCTATGCATAGTGACCTAGACATTCTCCTCCCTCACCGGGATCTCCGAGGGCACTCACCTATGCCAGAGCACCAACACACTGGTCTGTTGAGAAAGCAGGTCTCATGCACACCTTTGCCTTTTCCTTTAGTCCTCCACCTCAGCTAACGATAGTCTCCTGTGCATAGTGACCTAGACATTCTCCTTCCTCACTTGGCCTAGACAGTCAAAGGGCGTCTGTCCTCTGGGACTTCTGTCCTGGTTTGCAGTCTGTAGGGTGACTCTGGGCTTGTGTAACCAGTCTGGGTCTTCAGTGTCCTGGCTCCT